ATCTTGAAGAACATAAAGTAAAGCACCACAAGTATCCATAATAACTGAATTATTTCTCAAAATCTTCGTATAACGAACAATTTCAAATTTTAAAACCTTGATGGGTTTTAAGAATAACGAAAATAGATATCTTTGTTTTCATTGTAAAAGGTAATATTTAGTATTATTGATTAACGTAATTTAAATTAATTAAGTAAAATGGTTCGAAAAATTATAAATAATTAAAAGAAAAATTAAGTTAATTTGTATATGCAACTATTTTTACATGGTGTTAATTGGGTTGCCTATTTTTACCAGTAATATTTTCTTTTTTAATGTTTAAACATTAATTATTTACTTTAAATATTCATTTTGAGATGATAATCTTGAAGAATATAAAACAAAGCAGCACAAGGATCCATAATAACTGAATCATTTCTCAAAATCATCTTATAACGAAGAATTTCAAATTTTAAAACATCGTTACGCTTTTTATTTCATTTTAATTTTTAGCCCTTGACGATGTAACCTTGCTTAATTAGGCGATTAAATAATGAATATTCACGTGGAGTGAAGTAACACACAGCTAGAATTCATCATAAACAAATTAATTTCTATCTTAATGTTAAAAGTTAGTCAAATTGTTACTAGATGGCGTTAATGCGGTGGATAAAATCTTCTTTACCATCAACACGCCGCCATTTGCATGATTTGCGTATTTACGACTTGTTTATGAAATTATTTACCAGGTTTGGATTTATTTTCTAATTTATTGCTTTACATCGTTTAATTTAATCCTTTTTGTCCCTTTAGAATATCGCTTGATATGTGTGATTTATTAAAAAAACCCGCAGAAACTTTCCTTTAATCATTTCTGTTTGTTTCGGTAAGATAACCTCACTTTTTGTTTTTACCCTTTTTATTTCATTTTAATTTTTAGACCTTCACGATGTAACCTTGCTTAATTAGGCGATTAAATAATGAATATTCATGTGGAGTGAAGTAACACAAAGTTAGAATTCATCATAAATTAATTTTTACTTTAATGTTAAAAGTTAGTCAAATTGTTACTAGATGGCGTTAATGCGGTGGATAAAATCTTCTTTACCATCAACACGCCGCCATTTGCATGATTTGCGTATTTACGACTTTTTTATGAAATTATTTATCAGGTTTGGATTTATTTTTTAATTTATTGCTTTACATCGTTTAATTCAATCCTTTTTGTCCCTTTAGAATATCGGTTAACATATGTGATTTATTAAAAGACCCGCAGAAACCTTCCTTTAATCATTTCTGTTTGTTTTGGTAAGATAACCTCACTTTTTGTTGTTACCCTTTTTATTTCATTTTAATTTTTAGCCTTTGACGATGTAACCTTGCTTAATTAGGCGATTAAAGAATGAATAATCATGTGGAGTGAAGTAACACAAAGTTAGAATTCATCATAAATTAGTTTTTATTTTAATGTTAAAAGTTAGTCAAATTGTTACTAGATGGCGTTAATGCGGTGGATAAAATCTACTTTACCATCAACACGCCGCCATTTGCATGATTTGCGTATTTACGGCTTGTTTATGAAATTATTTATCAGGTTTGGATTTATTTTTTAATTTATTGCTTTACATCGTTTAATTTAATGCTTTTTGTCCCTTTAGAGTATCGCTTAACATGTATGATTTATTAAAAGACCCGCAGAAACCTTCCTTTAATCATTTCTGTTTGTTTTGGTAAGATAACCTCACTTTTTGTTTTTACCCTTTTTATTTCATTTTAATTTTTAGCCCTTGAAGATGTAACCTTGCTTAATTAGGCGATTAAAGAATGAATATTCATGTGGAGTGATGTAACACAGCTAGAATTCCTCTTTAAGGTTATTTTTTTTTATTTTTCTTTACTTTATTAAAGAAATTGATTAAATGATTAATCCTAAGGGTGGGTTATTTCCGTTGATAAAAGTGAAACATCGCAACGAAATATACATTAATTTCTTTATTTTTTCGTTTACGGTCTACAATTTTTTTACCTGTTCGCTATTTTTCCAGGAAATTACCACTAAATTTAATTTTTTCTTTTATTACCTTTTGATCAAATTGATTTCCTTTTATTTTAATGTAAGTAAAATGATTCGAAAAAGTATAAATAATTAAAAAAATTAAATTATTGTGCGTATACAACCATTTTTACCAAGTGTTAATTAGGTTGCCTATCTCTACTTGAAATATCACATTCTTTTTAATGTTTAAACAGTAATTATTTACTTTAAGTATTCATTTTAAAGTAATAATCTTGAAGAACATAAAGTAAAGCACCACAAGTATCCATAATAACTGAATTATTTCTCAAAATCTTGGTATAACGAACAATTTCAAATTTTAAAACATCATTGGGTTGTAAGAATAACGAAAATAGATATCTTTGTTTCCATTGTAAAAGGTAATTTTTAATATTATTATTGATTGATGTAATTTAAATTAATTAAGTAAAATGGTTCGAAAAATTATAAATAATTAAAAGAAAAATTAAGTTAATTTGTGTATGCAACCATTTTTACATGGTGTTAATTGGGTTGCCTATTTTTATCAGTAATATTTTCTTTTTTAACGTTTAAACATTAATTATTTACTTTAAAGATTCATTTTAAGATGATAATCTTGAAGAATATAAAACAAAGCAGCACAAGTATCCATAATAACTGAATCATTTCTCAAAATCATCTTATAACGAAGAATTTCAAATTTTATTACATCGTTACGCTTTTTATTTCATTTTAATTTTTAACCCTTAAAGATGTATTCTTGCCATAAGTAGGCGATTAAATAATGAATATTCACGTAGAGTGAAGTAACACACAATTAGAAATCATCATAAACAAATTAATTTTTATCTTAATGTTAAAAGTTAGTCAAATTGTTACTAGATGGCGTTAACGCGGTGGATAAAATCTTCTTTACCATCAGCACGCCGCCATTTGCATGATTTGCGTATTTACGACTTTTTTATGAAATTATTTATCAGGTTTGGATTTATTTTTTAATTTATTGTCTTACATCGTTTAATTTAATCCTTTTTGTCCCTTTAGAGTATCGCTTGATAAGTGTGATTTATTAAAAAACCCGCAGAAACTTTCCTTTAATCATTTCTGTTTGTTTTGGTAAGATAACCTCACTTTTTGTTTTTACCCTTTTTATTTCATTTTAATTTTTAGCCTTTGACGATGTAACCTTGCTTAATTAGGCGATTAAAGAATGAATATTCATGTGGAGTGAAGTAACACAAAGTTAGAATTCATCATAAATTAATTTTTATTTTAATGTTAAAAGTTAGTCAAATTGTTACTAGATGGCGTTAACGCGGTGGATAAAATCTTCTTTACCATCAACACACCGCCATTTGCATGATTTGCGTATTTACGACTTGTTTATGAAATTATTTATCAGGTTTGGATTTATTTTTTAATTTATTGCTTTACATCGTTGAATTTAATCCTTTTTGTCCCTTTAGAATCTCGCTTAATATGTGTGATATATTAAAAAACCCGCAGAAACCTTCCTTTAATCATTTCTGTTTATTTTGGTAAGATAACCTCACTTTTTGTTTTTACCCTTTTTATTTCATTTTAATTTTTAGCCCTTGAGGATGTTCCCTTCGTTAATTAGGCGAGTAAAGAC